TGGTTACGTATTGCTGGCCGAGGGGACGACCGACAATAATAATATTATAGTATTAGGTTTTGTTATTTTTATTTGTGACGAAAGTCCGTGTTGTGAAAATTATTCGAAAACATGACGGAAACCCGTCCCTCCAATGTCGTCTTCCTTAGACCTAACAATAATTCTGCAGCATGAAATGTATAGAAATGCAATTGATATTACCTAATTCTTGAGAGGACGTTATACACGTGACATTTCCTAGATAATATTCTTACCTTTAAGTGTGATAATAGTAATTTGATTCCAATTAAAGCTAACAATTTAAAATTTATTCTGCTGAAGCTGAACGCAAATTCGTTATGATATATGTTAATACCTAGATTAGAGACAACACATGCGGAGTATAGCTGAAGAGGATCGTCGCATCGCATATGTTTCTTCGTTTATATGGACTAGCTATTTTCAGTTGAAATTAGACGATTGATTTTTGAAGGAGAGATTATCAGTTAGGGTATTCATAGATTTATTATATTTTACCTGTGCAGTTATATATTTTTAAATTGTAAATTGCTTGCACGTCTTAAACACACATAACTCGCTTTAAAATTAAAATATAATAAAAAGCCTATGAGATGCCCTTATAATAATATACCTAATACCTGCATGTGTTATCACTTATCAGTGTTATTGCCGTCTTACATGTATACAACATGGCAAATTTTTGTTTAGAAAAATCCATTTTATGTCGTTGTAATATTGAAGTTAATTTACCCTATTATAAAACTTTAAGATACCTACGTCCTACTTCAACACTGCATCGAATCATCGATACCGCTGGTTATGAAGTAAAAATAATTCACGGAAGCATACCATCACATTTGTGCGTGTAAACTGTAAATACATTATATTATTATAGTTGGTCGTAAATCGTAATGATGAGTAATAGTTGATAATTTTTACCTATTTAAAAATAAATTCATATAACTATTTTATCATCGCGACCTCCAACACAACAAACCATTACACTTAATATTAATAGTTAATATTATAAACAAAAATAACTTATGTTTTATTTTCGTGATGATGTCAAATTGTCAAATGATCCAAAAATAAACTAAAAATCAAAAATACGCACACAATTATTATTACCTATTTATTGTTTTCGACGAGCTCTCATTATACTTACCTACACTACGGTCTGCTGTGCGAAGTAACCAGTAACAGGTAATCCATATTCATGTTTTTTGTTTAATGAAATTGCATATGATTTATTTTTTACAATAAATTCCGATCTCTGATTGTCTTAAAAAATAAGTAGATACTTAGTGAACACAATACGTATTCCTATGTTATAGGCAGTGATGGCGTGAAATAATAATATATGTTTGATTTGATATTTTGGTACCACTCGTCCAATACGTTATCTACCATAAACGTTACGGTAATAGAATATAATATAATACTGATAATTAATAATATACTAATAGTAATTACGGCCCTTTTGGCCCAACATGTAAAAATATAGTAAGACAAGTAATAAGCTATTAGAGCCACAACAAAAATATAATATAATAACATGAAATAGCTATTAGACATATAATATGAATAAATAATACATAATAATATGAAAATAAGATACGACCCCTTTGGCCCAACAAGTAAAAATGTATATAGTATAAAATAAATAATAAAAGGTAGTTTAGGCCCTTCTGGTTCAATAACACGATTATAATATAGAAAAACAGCTATCAGAGCTGAAAGCTCCGGATATTGATATAAAAATATATATAGCCCTTTTGGCTCAACAAAATAAATGTTAATAATACATATATAATAATAAATAAATAAATAATAATAATTAAAACTCACAATTTGTGGAGCGCAAACTGGCCAGCTGGTCCTAAATATGGCTATAATAATCAATAAGTTTCACACACAACAAATAAAACGAGAAATATAAAAATGTATACAAATATTTAAATATATATATGGTTGGCGATTAGCGCACAAGGTATAATTTAAAGCTAATAATAATAATATAATAACAAAAATATGGCGATAAGCGCCCACGCAGTATAATAAAATAATATTTTAATAGAAAAAAAGCGATTTGCGCAACAAAATATGATAAAAAATAATACAATCGGACTTGCTCACGAGTCACGACGACGGACGGAGGAAGACAATTTTCGCGGCGGCCGTGCTAAATAATATTCGCGCGCCCGACGCGGCGAAAACAGATAAGGTGAATCCGTAGATGATGATATGATATTATATATTATAATTCACAGCGACAATTAAAATATAAAATTAATTAAGAAAAATATGTTTGTGTGTGTGTGTGTGGATCGGTGGCGGTGACCGTGAATTTACACGTTATTTATATACTACCTATATATTTTTATTGATATAGTTAACAATATTTAAATACAAAATACACATATACATATTGTTTTTGTTGTTCATAATAATATATTATCATACTATGTTTGTCAGTGTTGTCTGTGTATTGACAAATCGATAGAAACCTAACCACAGTTGAACGACCAAAGTATCTACACCCAGTTCTCATAGTGCATTAAGTGCATTATAATTTTTTTTGTACAGTGCAGTTCTAATATTTTTTATTGTTTTACTTTTAGGTATATGTATTTATATAAATCTTAGTATATAATTTCTTATTTTAATATCTATGTATTATGAGTAAATAATATTATACATTAATACATTATGATATTGAAGCACTAATAACTCGGTCAAACAGATTTTTTATTTGGTAAAATATCAAATTTGTGTAGCGGTGGATGAGTGATTTATTTTAGGCTTGCCTCGATCAAATAAAATTATCAAATCGCCGGTGCAAGCGGTGCATGGTGCATTGCACCAGGGTCCCGACTCTTTGAAATGTTTGGGGGCCCTCGATATTACGGACATCAAAATATAATAAACTAATATAGTAATAAGTAAAATAAATATATTGTTATTTTCGAATAGACAGTGTTATTGGGTTTTGGTTTGAATTATTATTTTTTCCTCGAATTATTGAGATAATATTACTGTGTAACGAAAACATGTCGTAGCAATACAGTTAAAAATAGAATTGGAATCCAGAAACCGACGTAATTATAGCGATAGCCGATTGGTAATATTGTAGTCATAAACAACGCCGCCTGGACAATGAAATAATCAAAAAATATCATAACTTAAAAGTTAAAATATTAAATATTTCATTCATTCGTTAGTTGTTATGTTGGACTGTGGTTGCGTTATTCCTCATTCATGACTTATGTTATCGTAACAATAAATAATATATTATAATATAGTGTAACATATTTTTTTACTTTTTGTGAATCATTTGATTAATTGATTATGTCAAAACAACTCAGTGGTTTCGCCAAAAGAAAATTGAAATTGAAGAAAGAGGAAGAAATAAAAAAATTGAAAGGATCCTTAGATATGTTTATTTTTAAAAAGAATCAAGAAAATAATAGTAAGTAATTTTGACATTTAAATTATATAATAAATAATAATAATTAATAGGTATAATTAAACTGATTCTTTTTATGTTTTTGTCTGTTGTCTATTTTATTTTATAAGTTATACAATTTATATAACTTAATTTAGTTAGTAAGATACTAAGAAAGCAATATATGAATAACAAAAAAATTTTTAAGACATAAATCATAGTGGATAATTCTAAACTTTTTTACCTATATTTTACTTTTAAATTACTTTCTATACCTATATTTATTATAATATGTAATTAATATTTTAATTATTAAATACCTACCTAGATAGGTATTAGAATTGTTAGATAATTCATATTTTAATTTGAATTAAAAATATTCAAATTTGAAAAGTACCTAATGAGTAGGGGAGAGTGGCTTAATATGATATATTAAGGTAAAATGATACATCAGTGTATTTAGTAGAAAAAACAAATATATTTCCAACCCTATGCCTGAAATGACATATTAAGTTACATTTTAATTCAATTAATTTAAAACTAAAATAAAATTGTTTGAACTAATTTGTTGTAAGATATATTTGAATGAATATATGAAAAGAATGTCTCTTCCTTATAGGTAGTACCTAACAAGTAAGAGTATAATTATAAATAGTTACAACTCGCAAAGATTTATTTTGTAACTTATAAATGCACTTTATACCTAACTGTATCTATAATGTATTAAGTAGCTATATAGATATTCTATACAACTCAATTTAAATTTTTATACAATCAATTTTATAGTTTAGATCAAATCAGTGAACTCTATAGATGTGGTTGAAATTAATGTTGAAAATGTAACAAATAATGATAGTGTTGATGGTAATGATGACGTTGATGTAGAAAAAATGTATAGTATTAATCCTGTGATAGCTGCTTCTTCTTCAAGTAAAAACCTCATTCATAAAGTTTATTATAAAATTAATTCAACAATTTTAATTTATAAATTTTAGTTGAACATATTGATGATGAGTTGGATTTAAATTTAAACAATGAATATCCAACGGACCGTGGACACTTTAGAGTGGATAGAGTCTCTGATAAGATCAAACGGAGTATTCTATTGTATGGACCATGCAAGCCAAATGTTCAGTTTCCTGAAAATAATAAACACAGAAAATTTTCTTCGGAATATTATTATACAATGTCTAAGTCTGGTAATAAAATCCCTCGTAATTGGCTTTGTTATTCAATTAAATAAAATATTTTGTGAGACATGTTGGCTTTTTGCTGATCGATTATACAGACATTTTAATGTAACATGGATTTCTGGAATTGATGATTGGCAACACGCTTCACAAAAAATTTATGCACATGAAATTTCTGTACAACATAATATTGAAGCTATTAAAATTAGATATATTTGGGCAAAAAATCATGTAATTGACATGGAATTAGAAAATCAAATTTCAAATGAAGCAGTATTTTGGAGAATAATCAAAATTATACTACACTTAACTGCTGGAAATAATGCACTTCGTGGTAACGAAAAAAAATTTTGCAAAGACAATTCATTTAATGAAGGTAATTTTTTACAGACTGTTCGCCTCGTGGCAAATTATGATAATATATTAAGTAAACTTATATCTTGCGAAGAAAGTAAAGTCAAGTACCTAAGTCATACTATTACTGATGAGCTTATAAGTTTATTGTCCAATGATTTACTTAAAACCATTTATGCTGAAATAAATGCATGCCAATATTTTTCAATTATTACTGATTCAACTCAAGATATTACCAAGTTGGATCAGTTAAGTATTATTATTCGTTATGTTCAAATTAATTATAAAAGTAGGACTTTGGATGTTAAAGAATCATTTTTCGGATTTTATAACTTGAAAAGTTACGGTGCAGTTGATTATGTGAATCTTACCCATGAAGTTTTGATAAAACTGGGTTTAGATATTAACAAATGCCGTGGCCAGGGATACGACGGAGCGTCTGTTATGAGTGGAGCTCATTCAGGAGTACAAACAAGAATAAAAAATATTGTGCCATCAGTCAAGTATGTCCATTGCTGTAGCCATAATTTAAATCTAGTGATTTCAGATGCAGCCAGATGTCACAATAAAGTAAAACGTTTTTTTGAAACTGTTCAAACAGTGTTCAATTTTTTTGCTAGTAGCTCTCCAAGATGGACTTTGTTAGCTTTAGGTCAAGATTTTGGCAATAAAGTTTGGAATAAAGTTTTAAAGAAAGTATGTCCAACAAGGTGGGGAGCTTGGCATGATGCTGTGTTTTCACTCAAAGAACGTTTAATTGATATACTTAAAGCTTTGACTTTTATTATCCTTACCAGCAAGAAAACAACCAAACAAACCATGGCATCTGGTTTGAAAATAAAATCGAAAATTTTGAATTTGTATCAATATTGTGTACATTGGAATCTATATTACGATCTTGAAGAATAATTTCTAAAAACTTACAAAATGTAGATATGAATCTAGAAGAAGTTTCTAAAATGCTAAATAATGCCGTTATTTATATTCAAGAGACAAGAAATAGTTATGATGAAAACATACTAAGCAATACAAAATCATTGTGCTCGAGATGAGAAATCTCCACCAAGTTTGAAGAAAAAAAAAGAAACATATGCCAAATAACATTTTTACGATAATTTAAATGGAGATAGAAGACTAAATACAACTGAAGAAAACTTTAAAGTTAAAATATTTTTTCCAGTGTTAGATACAGTTTTATTTCAACTTATAAGTCGGTTTTAAGGTATGCATAATATATTAGAGGACTTCAATTTTTTAAATCCTACTTTTCTTTCAAGACAAACTGATGAAAATATTATTAAAGAATCATATGACTTTTGTTCAACTTATAAAAATTATATTAATTCTGATTTTCCACGACAAATGGTATCTATAAAAACTGTCATAAAAGATGAAAAATTAAAAACAATTAAACGTTTGGGTAGTTATATTATTAATAATTTATCAAGTAGTTTTCCAGATGTTTTAAGTGCTTGTGTTATTTTTATTACGATGCCAATTACTGTGGCTGGAGCAGAAAGATCATTTTCCAAACTAAAACTAATTAAAAATTACTTAAGAAACTCGTGTGGACAAGAACGTTTATCAAGCATTGCGATTTTAAACATAGAAAAAGAACGAACCAAATCTCTGAACATTGAGAAGATTATTGACAATTTTGCTAGTATAAAAGCAAGAAAAAAAAATTTCCTGAAATAGTTTAATTAAATAGTTCATTGTACATGAATGGATTATATTAAAATTATTTCATTTATATGTATAATATTTATTATTATTAAATGTTTAATTTAAATATTGTGTTATAATTATTTATAAATTAATACATAATATGTGGTAAAAATGCAATTTGATTTTTAAAAAAAATTGTAATATTGGGGCTTAAAATTTTTTATTTGCACCAGGGCCTTCAGAGTTCAAGATCCGGCACTGATCGCCACTGCCCATTGTGATATTTGTACATTGTGTAATGATTTTTATAATATGGGATTATGAACGTCAAAGATTAATGGGCAGAGTAAAATAAAATTTTAGGGTATAGGGCCATAGGGCGCAGGTAAAACCATTGCCTTGAGTTGAATTTTTCCTTAATTCGGTCCTGGTACTATAATCCATTTACGCATATTTCATTGTGTATTAAATTCACTATAACCATCAATATATTTTATTAAATACATTATTTTTTTTTTTAATATTGTCTTAATAAATTTGGTTTGTACATGCACTAAAATAAACAGATATTAAAGTGTCTAACTAAATGTTTACCCATAATATAAGTCGCTGTGGTCCATGAAAAAAAAATCATAGAATGTGCTTGACACCCTGCACCCTTATAGTACACATTAATTTTAATTAATGGAAATCATTAGTATTAACTACATTCTAAAAGAAGCTATTCTTACAATCTAACAAAAATGTTTTGTTATTTATTTCTTTTTCATTTTATTATAAAATCTAAGATTAGTAAATAAATAGAAAATAAAATTCTAATTATTTCATAAATTTATGTAAGTATAAAATGTAAGATTCATAATTCAATAAACGGATATTATAGTTTGTAGTTTTTATTATTTCAAAGCATGATTTCTCAATGGTATTTTTATATTTTTTAAGTAATATAACAAAAGTATATGTACTAACAAAATAAACATTTAAAATACATAATTTAAGTATTAAAAACATTTACTAAATTTATACATACAATTAAGTTAAATTATACACATCGAGTTACTTCATACAACATTTAATCATCTTTCCATACAAAAATACTTTCAAAATATGCTATTATCAATTGTGGGCAATATTTGGTTCCTGCTTTATACATTATATATGCTATATCTTCAGTTTCATTCCATTGCATTAATAAGAAATATTCATTGTTCATTAAGCGTTTCAATTTGATAACACTTTTGGGTGTTAATCCAACATCAAATCCATCCAAGTAGAATTTTCCATTCTCTCTGGGTCTAGCTAAGTTCATCACGATCTGTAAAAAATTAATAAATAATATAAATAATAATAAAAGATATTGCAACAGTTACTAAAGATTATATAAATAAGTCACAAAAGTTACAGACTACATTTTTTGAGTTTTGGCATTTATCTTGTTAACTATATAAGGCTGCCTATCAGATAAAAAGCTGAAATATTTTCCATGAAAACAAAATACACTATTATTTCAAACAACGTTTACTAAAATAAACTTTTACAAATGCTCCGCAAGCTCAAAGTTCCAGATAAAAATATTTAATGAAAAAGAAATCATATTCAAAAGCCTCTAAAAACCAAAATGCTTCTTTAAGAAATCATTTTCAATATTTTATTAATTATATTTTTAACTTTAAATGCAATAATTATTAGTCACTTATTATCTTTCTATCTTCCATTTAAAAGATTATATTTTATAAGCAAGTACATTTATGTAATGATCTTAATAATAATAAAAAATAAAGTTTATTAAAAATTAAACTTGAAAATTTTTTAGATGTAAAATTAAGATGTATTTAAAATCGGGCGTAGGTATATCATTGAGTGTTTTTTAATAACCATTATACAACCATACTATTGTTGACATTTATGGCTAAAAAAGGAATTCATAGCTTGGGAACAGTAATAAGAAATAGGTTGCCAGATCGTCAATTTATTTAAAAAAAAATAATGAATAAAGAAGTTAGAGGAACTGCACATGAATACATAACTGTATTTGATGATATTCTTCTTACTTCCGTGGTATGGAAATACAATAAAATAGTTACATTTTTGTCTTTGTACTGTGGAATTCTACCAAAAAATACCATTAATCGTTTTGACAAAAAAATTCAACGTACTTTAGATGTTAATTGTCTAGTGTCGACTTCCAACATTATTATTAAAAGAAATGGCAATAAAAAAAGGAAAACTATTATGTCATTTATTCCTGACTGATTTAATTAGAAGAAACTGTTTGAACCATTGGCCTAGTCAAAAGTCTAACCTGGAAAGCTGGGAAAGTTGTAAGCTAAATGGATGTGGAAAACTGACTAACTGTATCTGCACTAAATGTAGTATTTATTTCTGCTGTAGAGTAAACAGAAACTGTTTTACATTATTTCATAAATACTAATATTTGTTTTATTAATTATTGGTATTAACTTGTTTTTCTGGTATAACATTATTTAATATTATGATTTTATTAATTATTCATATATTTTAGAGAAGTAGTACTTTTTCACTTTTATAAACTTCATTAGTATTCATGTATTTTTTCAAGGAATGTAGTATCTTTTTAATTTTAAAATACTAAAATATGTTAATTTGTTGTTACATTTTTAAGAATAACATTTTATTTATTTTTTATAATTTATAAGTATTTGTCGTTTTATATGTATTTAAAGTCTAATAACCTATCATATACGTGATCAAAATAATAAAATGTGATAATTTGTTTTTATACTTTTATTTTCTTTTAAAGAAAAATAGTATCTTAATTTTTTTATAATTCATTAGTGTTTCTTTAAAGTTTTTTTTGTATGTATAAAAGATTTTTATCGTTAATTAATTTATTTTGTTTTACCTCAATGCATGATGTATCACAGATGATACAAGAACTTAAATAGTCTTTATTCATTTTAATAAAATGATTTTTAACGTTTTTGAACACTATTTACAATTAAAAATAATTTTTACAAGTTAAAATTTCACCATCAAAATTAATTCATACAGTGTAGGGTTAATTGAAAATAAATTCATTTTAAAATTAAAGTATATAAATGATAATATGTTAACTTTACAAGTTACAACACCTAATACTTTTAATGTTTTTAATAAATAGGCATATCAGGTATATTATTTTAAAACAAATCAAATATAATTGAATACATTTTAACCAGGTCTAACACAAAATAAAATAATTTGAAACCTGATTTTTTTCTTATAGTACCAATAATTACATGCTTACCCTATAATTAGATATATAGTTTGACAAAATCAACATAATCATAATTACCTAATTACATTTCATCAAATCTTAACCAAATTAATCTAATTTTTATAATGTTATTAAACATCACTTAATAATATTGATGTTTTTAATAACTTATAAAAATGATGACAGTTAATTAAAAATATAAAACAATATAAAATATTGTACAATAGTTCACTAATTTTAGTAAGAAATAATATATTCTCACATATATTTTAATTCTGTTTAAATAATTACTTACTATAATTTAATTTTTTTGAAATAGGTAGTAACATAATCGAATAATTTAAAAATTAACAATTTGAATGATAAAATTTATCTCCTGTTACTTTCAAATTAATTAATGAATAAAATTGTATATATGTACATATTTAATGAAGTAAAAATTAAAACGCAAATCATTTTTAAAATTTAATTTAGAATTTTAGAATTTTTTAGCATACCCTTTTTACACTTTTTTCTTGTCTGACATGTATTTGATAGTATTAAATCATAAAAATGTTATATAAAAGTACCTATTTGTCATTTACAAAAACTCTAATAATGCATGTTATACAGTGTTATCAGTATCAGTATTAGTATTATTGAATTATTGCTTATTTAGTAAGTATATTGAGTACAGTTTAATTATTATTTATAAATTATAAGTAATATAGATAATAATAATAATAAAAAAGAAAAACGTGACTCCAAAATAAAAAGAAACCACTTTAGTATTTTTATTAATCAATACTGTATAAACAATATGTTGACTAAGTATTTAACATTAAAATATTAATCTTAGGTATTTATAATATTATAAAATGACATTTTACTTAGTTTCCTTATTGTATCATTGTATCACGTCTTTTAAAAATTTAATTATTACTATTTTTTTTTTCTTATCTTAGCTTTTTTTTTTACACGGAGTCATAACGAAGTGTTTTTGGTAAGATATCAACTTTTTTTAAAATTATTTATTTATTTTTATTATTATTTATTTTTATATATTTTTTAAAATGTTTTTGCGTTAATATCTGCAGGCATCGCTATTATTATTATACTAGTATTATAATAGTAAGAAAAAAATAATAATAAAGTCGAAACGGCCAACACCAAATCTCAAAACAACTACTCGTTGCAGTGAATACAAAATATGAGATTAATTATTAAAAATCGTAATATATCATCAAAGCAACAGCCATTCAGCACCAGTATGAACGTTGCGCGTAGTTAAGTGCTAGACGCTAGTCAGTCACGAAAGTCAAAAATACGAAATGCTAATGGTTAGACCGCGCCGTCGTAATCGTCCGCGCGCCGTCGTTACTCGTCGTACGTCGCGCTGGATATTCATCGGCATCCTCCGGCGAGAAGACCACACCGTCGTCGCCGTCGCCGCACCGTTACGATGAGAGTAGTGAGGGGATCGATAAGCGGCGGATCGAGGGACATATTATATATAATATATTTTGTCGCGTACTCAAAATCGGTCTTAAAAGTACCTACTTAAACATTTTTGGTTACAACTTGTAAACCGTTTGACCAATCTGTTTGCGAGTTTCCCGTTCCCATCTGCACAATATTTCTGATCGATTGATACCTCATACGAAATTATATGTTCAGCCGTTTGCCCTGTAGGGCTGGACAAAGGATTAACATAAATAAGGACGGGTTTTCGATGGTTAAATTCTGGCTCCTGTTATACGTATACGTTATTATGCTACGCTATTTTTTTTATTTTTTTTTATTACTTAGCTTTGCGCCACTTCTGTCGCGCTGGATTTTATTAGACGTATATGTGATTTGAAATATAGTAATATCGGGATCTATAGAATTATAAAAAAAATTTGTGAAACAATATGTTTGGGGTGTGGCTTGGGCCCCTAGGCCCCCCTCCCTAGATTCGTCGCTACAAAGCATGTCAGGTTTAGTTCATTTAAGCGTAAACTTGTTAAATAAAATCATGACTACATCACTGATGTATGCTATTTTGTTACTGTCGCTTACATTGGTATACAATTATTATGCTTACAAGAGAGCGCGTACGACATTTCCCAATGATTACACTATTTAACATTAGACATAAACACACAGTAGACAGTAGTAGGCGCACTGTCGTCTTTACCAGTGGTTCTCAGCCTTTAGTAGATCACGGACCGCCTTAATAATATTTATTAAGACTGTCGCGGACTCCCAACACGAGTATCACTGACCGCCAAAGGGCCGCGGACCAAAGGTTAAGAACCACTGGTTTATACTCCATTCGGTACACCGAGCGGCGGACAAAGACGCACTGTGACAGCGCATACTCCCCGGCCCCCGCTACCGGTTATCGGTGCCCGCACAACGATCATCCCCATCAATGTTACTACTACATATTCATCAATTACGTCGCCGGGCGCCGATATAGATTCACTGTATATAGATACCTATTACCTACACGGCAGCGGAAACAATGACGACGGTGTACGATTGGTAATAATCGTTACCGAACGATTAACCAGGGGGTGGGGAGTCCAGCAACATAGAAACGTACAGCGGTTAGTAGCATAATGCGCCGAAATAAGGGTATAGAATACTACACGAGTCACGACCGATTATAATATTATAGGATCAATATAATATCATAATACCGTTCGCCTTATCTTCCTATTATTTTTTCTTTTTAACAGTCGACAGTAGGTTCACGGTATATTCCAGGTTTCAATTTCACTACATGAAAATATATTAAAAAGATGGCGACCTAATACATGTTTTTTTTCTCAGGCCCACGCATAATATTGACAAAAAGCATTATTGAAAATCATTTTTTTGTAATTTCTAAGTAAAATCACTTGATGCGAAAATTATAGAGAACACTATTTTTGAGGGTTCAACATATTATGTAAACTGTTAATATTTTATTGTTATTTGGCTTAATATAATTGATTTTAAACATGAATGCTTTTTGTCTATATAGTATATATTGCAAACGAGAAAAAAAAGCGTGGGAACACTTTTGTGATCCTTGACAAAAAAAAAAATACAATTACAAAAATGAATAGCAATAATAGTACTTACAGATTGTCTTAATCGTTCACGACGAAGATGCCTGATAATTGTTGATGGTAATAATGGCGGTGATGAGGGCGAACGCTCTTCGATGAAGTAGTATGCGTAGCAAAAGTATAATAACGTGACTAACACAATACTGACGACAATGGCAAGAAACCACATATTATGTTATTGTGCGCTCGGTATCAAGACCGACTATGTTATCAAATTTGAACAAAGGCATTGTCAAAAGGAAGCACCTCCTTCGTGGACGCTGGACCGACAATGTTGCCAACCTACGACAGTGGGCTATGAAACATTATAGAAGCGACCTCACCCTTCCATTGTTATTTTCTCCCTTTAGAAGAAACAAGAACGATGTTGCTATCTTTTTTTATCATACAATATTATATATTATGATTGCTTACCAATAAATAATATTGTGTTTAACTTAGAGGTTATCTTTTACGTTTTAAAACTTAAACTTATGAAAATAGAACAGTGGATTGTCAAAAATTAAAATGGTACACTTTTTTTAGAATATGTTCTGTTTTTTTATGTCTTTTAAGATAATTTTAGGTCCGGGGCCAAACAATTTTAGGGACCCATAACCATAGTCAAAATATTTTTTTTAAATAAAAAAGGTACTATTGTTTGATATTCATGATGTTTGTGGGCCATGACCCCTTGCCTATTTAATCAGGGCTTGTAGGTATGTTAATTGTTAAGTATTAATGTTAATTTTTGCCATTTGCAACTTTTAGTTATATCATTAATATAGGTAAATAAAATATAAACAACCTTTTTGGTCGTGTTTGTACATTGGCAGACCTTATGGGTTCCGCGTCGACAATATCCGACGTAATTTCTAAGGAAGCAAATTCATAAATTATAATTGGTAATGCATATTGGTTGATACTTTTTACATTTATTTTATTTTGATTACCTAGTAATTTAACTCACAGTTTTGGAGAATTATTGATTCCGCCGAAACTACCTGTTTAGGAAAAAGGTTTGTATCGATTCCGCCGGCTACTGTTTAAAATATCTACATATCGATTCCACCAGCTACTGTTTATAATATCCACATATCGATTCTGCTGGACACTGTTTATGTCCCCCTTGTATATGTATTTTTAAATATATAGCAGCGGTTTCCAAACTTTTTTAGTTTACGTCACCATAAAAATAAAAAAATGAATTGCACCTTCTATGAATAAATGAATAAAATTTTTATAGTATTTAATTATCTAAATATTTTTATTGTTGTGATAAAATAAATCAACAATAAATATTATTAAATTTCTATTTAAAGTATTACAAAGTTTTTAATTTTTATGAAAAAAAAAAAACAACAATAATTATTAATATTAATATTTATGTGAATATATTAAAAAATATTAAAATGTATAATCTAAATTGTATAAAATGATAATAATAATTGTATAAATCAAAATTAAAATGTATAATCTAATTAATATTATTAAATAATATTAATTAATAAGTCTTACACATGACATGTACGACTAGCAAATTTTCGTTCACCGATAAACAGTAGCCGGCGGAATCAGTACCTAAATAGTAAATATTATAGACAGTAGTCGGCGGAATTAATAGCCGGCGGTATCGATATACGCCCAAAGTTTTATAAAAATATCTATGATTCAAATATATTTTACTGATGGTTTTAAATATATTTTTCCCTGACAATTCTTTTCTGTTTCAATCGTTAATCGTTTTCTGTTGCGTTATTCGATATTGATTTTATCGATTTTAGTCGTTTTTTGAATAGTTTAACATTTTACATTTATACTCATAACATTATAAAAAAATTTTGATGCCCTGGTTAAATGTTAACTGTACAGATTACAATCCCACGATTATTATTAAAATAGGTACTGTTTTGACCAAATCTAAAATACAGAACAAATATCATATTACATTATACCTATCCAATAAAATAATGATAGTTTTTTGTAAGTAAACTAAATTCACCAAAAATGTGTTAAAAATAAACAAATTATTAATAATATACATGGGTACTGCTGAATTTGTTGACAAAAAAGTTATAAAAATCGTTCAATAATTGTCGATTTGCAAAATATTCGCATCAGACGTTTACACCTCATTCATTTTTTATAGTAGATAAATGTTTTAATTATAATTCATCTCGCGACTTGCACGGCGTTAATATTATGTTTAAAAATAAAACCATAAAGTTAATATTCAAATAAAACAACTGGTTTCAGAATTTTCATTGTTATTATTGTTGGTTAAAATAACATCATGTTAAAAGTACATTACGCATAATTATTTGGTCAATAGCGGACAATTAGATTGTTTAAAACAAAATACATCTATTGATCTATCTATTTACATTTTTGTAATTATTCGCTGGTTTATACTTATTACTTATGATAATTGTTTTATTTTTTTTTTTTTTTATAATTAGTCGATGGAGAAATATACATTAATAAAATCTAAATTTAATATAATGTATAATATTAGAAAACAGTATAATTTATACTCGTACATTACTAAAGCATTTATAGCTATTCTACTGTATGGCGTTATATGTGACAAATTAAATAATTCCAGGGATATATATACCATGAAGTATTAAGTCCCATTGAAAAATGTAAAACACAAATTTTTGACACATTCATTTGTGTTTTGACCATCTATAAAATACTGCAGGTCTGAAATTGTACCCAATTACCTACAATACTTTATTTTATCTAACCTATGACAACCATGAATAAATTTTAAAAAATAATTCTAAATGTATAAATGTATACATACGTGGAAACAAAAAAAAACCGTATTTTGCAATATATTTACCTATTTTAATATTATTATATATTTACTATTTAGTAATAAATTAAGAGGTCATGACATGATCAGTGTTGGGAATAGATAACTAAAATATTATCTAGATAAAGATAATAGATAAATGTAATTTATCTAGATAAAAAAATAGATAAAAATTTTTTGCTGTTTTTTTCTTACTTGGCAATAACTATTCAGTGGCATATCCAGAAATCTTTTAATGCGAGGGACCCTAGATTCAACACCATATAATTTTTAGCTTCACCTGTATAGTACAGTAGTACACAGATTAGAAAACACCAAGCCCCTCAGCAACCTTAAATACGCTATTGGAACGATGAATTAAATTATTAAGATTTATCAATAAATATTTTTTTTTTACAATTAATCTTCTGCTTTAAAATTTTGGTGCTCATATTACCTACTACATTAATATTATGATTTAAAATTGATGCTTTTACTCAAATTCAATAACTATATTTACCTATGTACCTATCACATAGGAAATCATAAGTAAAATAAAAAAACAACATTAATATAACTCTTTTAAACATCAGAATGTGTATTTAGTTTTGATTTGTATTAGCATATAAAATAATGATGCTTGATTAGATTAGTCAAAATAAAATAGCTTAAAATATTATTTAAAAAAAATATAGTTAAGAATATACTCCTGAAACACAGTATTTATAATACTTATAATTTAGAAGTAAGATTTACATATGTATTTAAATAAAAACTGAACTAAATATAATATACAAGTGTATTTACATTTGTTTATTTAGTTATTCGAAAAAAAAAACACATTAAAGAACAATTTATACTTTAATAACCAACTAATCAATGTATAACAAAACCAAATAATTTTAAAATTCTGATTTACACATATAGCAATATAGAAATTAAAAATTAATAACATGGCAAAAAAAAATAAACATAAACAATATGATACAGTCAACAATTTTACCAAAGTGTATAACAAAACTAAATAATTTTAAATTTTCCATTTACACAAATAGAAATTAAAAATTGCATTGTTAATAATACTTTATAAAACTTAATAAATATAATTATAATTATAATATACTATTATACTTTTAAATTCAAACACCTACAACAGAGAAGCATATCAAATGTTCTATCATATAATCTATTTCTCCTGGGAGTTAAAATTTGAATACTACTGCTGAACAATCGTTCAACAGGAGCAGACAAAGGCAATGTAGTATTATACTTTAAAAATACTTTTTTTACAGCAGGAAAATGATTTAATATTTCAAAATCTTTTTTTTGTACTCTAAATAAGAAAGAGCCTGAACACTTGATATATTACTACTTTTTATACAATGCGAAAATTCAGTAGACTCTTCAAAACATGTATTTTCATTAAGGATTTGATAGAATTCACTATCACTGCCATCAGTTTCATCATCAGAATTGTTAAAACCAGAGGTCGTACTTTCAATTGAATTTAATATATCACATTCAGAAATGAATAATTTTTTACACAAACTTAAGTATCTTACTGGTACCCAACTAAGTTTAAATTTGGGATGACTGATGAAAGCCAAGATGAAAGCTTTACTCTTTGGGTGTTCTAAGTCAAATAAGTAAATGAATCTTTTTTCAAGACTAATAATTAATAAATGAGCCAATTTTTTACAATATATTAAATGTGTTAACTGAATTAACTTGAGCCTTAAAGCAATAATTGTAGGTGCAACAAATCCTAAGAAATAAGATTGTTCACCCTGTAACTTGTCGAGGGCTAAAGCTAAAGGTTCCATGATTAAGCAATACTCTTCAAGAAACTTCCCTTCGGATATTTTAAGTATCTTAAGTTTTAATTCCTCAAATGCATTTAAAAGTTTATCTTTATGAGCCAAAACTTTTTTAACTGCAAAAAATAGTGAATTCCACCTTGTTATAATAAGCACCGGAAATTTACAGTTACATATATCAAAAATTTTGTCTGATGCAACAGAACTCCTACTGACTAAATTCCAGAAAGAGTATAATTTTTCAAACACAGGCTTAGATATTTGTTTATAAGAATGGTCTTCAATTTTATTTACATCGGTAGTTGCGATTAAACTCAAAGTATGATCTGGTAAGCAGATTTCATCTTCATCATCAGAAGAATTAATTACATCTGGATTTGAAAATATGGTTGACAATTCTGTAATATCAATATTTTCAAAAGTATCATCAACCTCTAAATTATTTTTTTCATTATTTGATTCATTGTTATCACTACAAAACCAGTTATTTGTTAAATTATTTGAATTGGAAGAATTCGACTATGGCTGAATTGAAAATGTTCTAAAGGCTTTACCAAAATTTGATGCATTATC